TCCTTTGCAGAACGTCGCTCTCGTCACGGTCTATGTGAAAGAAACTGGGTCTCTCGCCAGTCTCCTGCCTCGTGTACTTTCATACCCAAGGTGTCACTGATTTCCTTTGTCCATCCTCGTGACGGTTGGTCCCTGCCCCTCCTTCCTGGTACCATGCCTTCTGCAATTATTTTTTTCTCGCCAACTGCCATGGCGCTTGATATGACCAAAGCACTACAGCTTGCGGGACAAGCTGCTGTTTATTTGCCAATCTTCCTTGACGATCAGATCTTTTAGAATGTCAGTATTTATTTTCTTCTTTATTTATGGCATTCTGAGAATCGTTCTATAGCATTCTGTAACACTGATGTACTGTTCATGATACATCAGTCAACCTCAAGTCAGCACAAGAGAAAGTTAGAAAGGATACTATCAAACAGACTGTAGAAACAACATCAAGCAGCGGATTTAATAAGAAACAGAAGAGCAAATGGTTTAGTAATGTCTGTAGATTGCAGCCACAACAATTGCCAGTACTGGGCCGACTCAAGAAAAGATCTTACGGGAAAGCAAGAGACTGCTCTATGAGAACATGGACAGATTGCATTGAGGATCTTCTACACCGACACCAAACAACAATAGCCAATACTGCCCATCAAGCAATGGATCGCACAAACTGTTGCTTCCCACGGTGCTTAGTGGTAAAAGTGGACAACTGACGATGATGGTTATGATAATGATAATATTCTTTTTTTACTGTTGCCTCTACTCCTGAAATGTTTCGCAGCGTCAGTGGAGGAAGAGATACATGGAGCAGGCTCTTCTGTTAGCTTCGTATATAGTTACAAGTTAGTTGCGTACTTTTTACAGAACGTTGCAGAACCAACCGTAGCATTTTTTTTTCTGTTGAGGCTTTTCTAGGCAAATTTACGTGAAGCAGTTTGCCATTGCTTATCGTACATAAAATTTTTTAGTGTCTCCGATATTCCTGCAGTCCATTTTCTGTATGGCCGACCTCTGGCTCTGTTATCGCTGTAACTGTATAACATTGCTCTCTGTGGCGCCCTGTCTGTTGCCAGGCTTGTTACATGGCCAAACCATTTGACCTTTTGTCTATCGATATAGCTGTGTGTATGTGTGTGTGTGTGTCTATTGTTATTTCTATTCTACTCCAGTGTGGAAGACAGGAAGATCCGGCTGTCTTGTGTTTTCCTGTTACAAACAAATCCTCATCATTAGCAAGTGTCTTGCCAGTCCGTGGTCAATCGTGCCTCACCACAATCTACGATCTTTCACAGCATGTAACATTTCATGTGTTGACACTTCTCTATGACGTAACAAAAGGTTGTCAAGAATCATCTCGTGTTGTCTTCCCCTGTCTCTTTTTCCACAGATCTTTCCAGGAATCACAACATGTTCCATTTTCTTTTCCTCTCACAAAATAGAAGAAGGAAAAAAAATATAACTGTCACTTAATTGTATTTGTGATAGGTTGTTTTTTTTTTTTTTTTCTAGCGTTCGCTTCATTAGAAACATCTGAGTTGCTCTATTTTGGCTGTCCAAGGTATTCTAAGGAGTCTTCTATAAAACCATATCTCCGAGGTCTCAAGGAATTGTTTGGCTTATTTATTAAATCTACAGGATTCACAGTAGTATGCTAAAACTGGCTCTGTATGGCATGCGAGAATTCTATAACTGTCAGTGACATGGATTTATTGCATAAAATGTTTTTTACAAACACACTCACGCGAAAACG